ATAACTTACCAATATAAAATAATCGTCACCCATTGTCGTTATTGAGATACAATTCATTATCTACCAAAGAAGACACACTCAGAAATCAGAATTGTCGTTGTTTATTGTTGGCTAGAAATATCATAAAAGTAGTAATCACATTTTTTTCAGTGTTATAAACAACTTTCTTACGCACACAAAAAAGAGTTAGATTCCATCACTTTTTTTTCTCTTCTTTTATTTGTAAATTTCACTTGTAATTTTATTTCTACAACTATTTTCCTATATTTTTTTATCATGTTACCGAATATTGATATTTCAGAAAATTTTGAGGGAAAAAGTGATGTGTCAAATCAAGTACCAACTACCAACTTCGATACTGTCCAATAGCACACTTAGTATAATTTGTTGCCGTACTTATCAATCATTGCGTGTTAATATAAATGAAAGAAGTTTGAATCTTTAACACATATGGTTTTGAGTCTAATCTTAAAATTCATAGACAAAAAAAAAATTTGAGAAATTCTTACCTTTAACTTGATTATATTTTAAAAAAACTAGTCTCTTATTTAAGTGAGAAATTACAAAATCTTAGCCTTATCTTCTATCACAAATTCAAATAATATATAACATATAATACCCACACGTCACCATTGTGACAATAAAAGGACCTTATCCTCTATCACAAATTCAAATAAAATATAACATATAATACAAACACGTCACCATTGTGACAATAAAAGGACTAAAGGAGTCCCTAAGTCAAATCTTGTATATTTGGTTCTTAGATAATTGTCTCTCTTGGTGCCTTTGCTTGTTTAATTTGGCCTAGAAATTGTAGTGTTTAGTGGCTGAGTCATGACCCAGCTACAATAAAGTTGATTGAAGTGCCCTTCTTCACCTAACAATGAAAATGAAGGATTTGATTATTTGGTTCTGGGGACACAAACCATCATTTCATTTAAAGTAAAGCTTGTCGAAAAGAGCAAAGGGGGAATAATTGGTTCTTGAATTTTCCCAAAGTGTGCATAGCTTAGAGGAGCCCACTTCAGTTCAGTGGGCATAATGAAATAATAAATAGCTTCTACAGAGTATCAACCAATTACATATAAGCTGACTGTTACCAACTTGCTTTTCTTTTTTCTTTTTTTTTGAAAGTTCCTTTAATGGACCTATCAAGGAACTCATTCAGCAATTGTAAAGTTTGATAAATTATGATAAATTATGGGTTTTATTTTATTTATTTTTTCATGATAATTTGTATCTTTTGATAAAGTGGGAACCTTTTTTGGCTCCGCAAAAAGTTAATCATTTAGGACACTTTGCCAATACATGACAAGAAGATTTCTTAACCTTGTTGATATGTTGCGAGGAATTTTCATTATTGTAAAATCGTGTATGTTGGTGTACATAAGATGTGTCCCATGGAGAGTGAAGTATGTTGATATAGGGGTGTCCATAATGATCTTGGTAGAGACCAAGCCACTAGTGAAGTTTCTCATGGTGCATAAGAGGGGGTGTGTGTTCTACCAATGGGCAGAGTGACAGCGCAGGTAGAAGATGGAGAATAAGAATATCCCCTCTCCATGTGTGAGAGGAGTATTTAGAGAGGAGAGTCATCTCTTCATGGAAGCTTGACCGGTCAGCCCATAAGTTGTCTCATCAAGCTGCCCACTGTCAGTGTACAGGGGCAGCAGTGCAGGGATGGGAAATGTTTCAATGGTGCGCCTTTATGGCTTGCCATGGGTGCTCTCTAGAAAGTTTTAGATGTGAGCTTTAAATAGTTGGGTCCACCTGGTGGGTCTTAGTAAGTAGCATCCAAAACACTTATATTAATCTTCATCTTTAACTTCTCTTTATTCTGATCTTCCAAGCCTGTCTTTAGCCAACGCTTGTCATTATATTTATACCCCCAATCTTAATCTATATTCTAATAATCCAAACTAGTCTTTAGCTTAAGCATGTCATGGGTCCCAACACTTCGAATATTATAGGGCCAGTCCCAAATATTAGGGTGCTTTAATATGCCTTACAAATTGACACGCGGAAACGCCACATTTCGTCAAATTATTGAATCCCATCAATCGGTGTATATTTTGAATTAGGGTTGCCAATATAAGCATAATTATGATGCTTCCACAAACTTCAATGGGGTTCACAAGAGATATGTATTGTTGAAGCTGAAATTTTGTTCACGCATGTTGCTATGAAAGAGTTTTCATTAAGCTTCATGAGCCACCCGTGGAATGCTGAGTCAAGGCCAATAGTTTATAATATGATAATATATATTGATTCACACATTTAACCACATCATTCAATATTGTAGTGACTCATTCATAGGCTCGTGACAATGTGACATGTATATACAGCGAAGTAACCCCCCATTGTTACCCGTTATTAATGAGACATACATATATAATTCGAAGGGATACGTTATTTTACTTACCATTTTCTCTACTTATTTTTGCCTATCACTCTCAATATTGTTAGATCAAAATCTCGAGAAGAGAGAGAAATATAAATATTAGTTAAGATTTTAATCTAACGGCGTTGGAGAATGGTAGGCAAAGGTAGGCAGAAAAAATTGTAGGTAAAATAACTTATCCCTAATCTAAAGGGATAGGTTATCCTACCTATCATTTTCTCTGCTTATTTTTGTCTACCACTCTCAACATCGTTAGATCAGAATCTCAAGAAGAGAAAGAAAGATAAAGATTCTGATCTAACAGTGTTGGAGAATGATAGGCAAAAAAATTAGTAGATAGAATAACCTATCCCTAATTCAAAAGCATACAAAAATTGGCGAAAAATTATAAAAGAATAGTTTTTGTAAAATTATCGTGCATTTAACAAATAATTGATTAATATTTATTAGAAGTATTGTAAGCACTTTTCCTTATAATATAATATCTTTTATTTTCAACCCATCATAAAAAATTCTCGCCCGTCATTGACATCGGCTGAGATCGTCATACTACGAGACATGAGAAGATTTATTCCCAATCAAAAAATAAATAGAATTTGTTCTATATGTAGTAATTCTTAAAATTATTTTCTCTTGTCAACAATACGGAAATTTGTTGATAAAATGACACACATAATTAAAATAATATGAAATAAAAAAGTCATATAAAATTGTTAAAATATTTAAAATTAATATTATGATTTTATCTTAAAATAACATATATATACTACGTATATATCTATTTATTTGTCCCCCACTTCTATCATTTCGATATGTAATATGGAATACTCGAAGGTCGATTCTCTCTCTTAAATGATTTTTGTAATTCATTTTCAAATTTTCTTATAGTTTATGATTTATTTCTTTATTCAATTAAGATTAGGACTATTTTATCTATGTAAACAGAGACAACGGTTTTGTCTTTTATAACGTATCATATCACATCATTACATACTATATTAATTCATAAAGTATAACTAAACTTTTTTTTTAATTCTCTTCCTAAATTTATTTTAATATTAATATATTATTACTGCCATGATATCTACCTCCGGAATAGTTTTTCCTTTCGTTTGATTGAGTTCGTGGAACTTAATTACCCCAAAGCCCAAACCTGTGTTTTGTATTTTTATTTACTCGATCTCTTTTGTGACTTTTGCCATATTTTTTTAGGGTCAGGCTAGCTCTTGTTTATTGTGCATCCTTGTTGTGATTCCAACTTCTTTTTAAAATTGGCTTAGTTTGGACATGTCTTGGCTCCATTTTCGTCAAGTTACCTATAATTTTAAAGCACTAATTCAAGTACCATAAGTATGGAATAAGTTAAATTACCACTTATTGTGTTCATAAAAGATAATATTTTATTTATTTAATTTATAAACTTTCATACTCAATTTATAATATTTAATATAAATTATTTATAAATAAAAAATTAATGTATTTTTTTATAAAAAAATATTTAAGTTTCCTTCAAAATTGAATTAACTTTAGAAAAGCTCTTATCGATCCACACGTTATTATATTGTTGCCTTTTCGTCGGACCTATGTCATCGCAGGTACAGGACACCTAAAGTTTTAAAGCCACTCTTGTATGATCTGTTTTTTCTTCTCTCAATAATAACATTACTCAAAGTTTACGTGCTTGCAACGGCAAAATATTAAGAGGGACATATAGTAATTAAGAAGATAAACAACTTACTTAACTCAATTAAACAAGCTTAGGCTATTGAAAATTTAAAAATACTAGTCAACCAAAAAATTTGTACTAATATTTATGCTAGAAGTTATGGACCTTAAATACATAATTGGTCCTTGAACTTTGACTTATTTAACAATTTTTTAAAAAGTTATGACAAATTTTAACTGAATTTTATCAAAATTTTCTAACTACTTAGCAATACTCTTGAAGATAAAGTCTATTTTTGAAACCCAGAAGCAGATTTCCTTTTGAATTGATTTCTTAAATTCCTGAATCTGTTCCCTAAAACATAACCAATGCTGATTTTAGTGAATTATTGGCAAAGAATAATAAATAAGTGCTTTTACATTTATATAAGATTTTGGTAGGTGGTTTTGTTGGTGGCTTATCGGCGATGTGAATGTGGTTTACCGATTTATCACGTCTTATAATTAATTAGATTGAGATGTTTATAACCCTTAATGCTTTTTCAGTAGGATAAACAGGTTTGCATGGGTGGGAAATATGGGAAATAAAATTTGCTATTCGACCCCTTTTGGATGTGAAATAAGAGAAAAGAAACAAAATAAGAAAATTCAATTATTTTGAGGTTAGACAAAATTAAACTCTTCCATATATGGTTGCATGATCTGAAAGAAACAATGGGAAGCACATGCAGAATCTCACAAGTCAATGTCAAAAAGGAAATGTGGACCTAAAGCTAGACCCCATATATGGTTTACTATACCAAAGTGTGGAATTTCCTTAGGTTATATCAGCTTAACGCTGTCCACAGCAACATTAAGAGGACCATATCTCGTTATTCTTGCCAATTGTATGAGCATCCTCTCTTTCACATTAAATAGACATGCATGCATCTTATGAACTGATATTCTGATTGAAAAATGAAAATTGTCAAAGTATCATTCAATGAAGCCTCAAAGGCTTATATACAGAACACTAAGCTAAGTAAAAGGGAAGTGAGTTACTAAGTAACTAAACAACTAAAAATATAACACAAAGCTAACTAAAACTAACTAAATTCTAGTTAGTTACAACTATTACAGCTGGCACATAACTTAATCAACTAAATAAAAGTCACGTGTTCTTCACCATATTTGCATCTGCATTCTTCACTGCATCTGCATGATTGGTGGATGTTAATTATTACCCCCCCGCAAGCTGGACTATGAAGATCAACAAGTCCCAATCGATTGATAAGCATGGAAAATGAAGAAGGATGAAGAACTTTAGTAAAGCTATCAGCCAACTGCATAGAAGAAGATATGGGAAGAAGATGAAGGAGTCCAGCTTGGATTTTCTCACGTGTGATGTGGCAATCTAGCTCAATATGCTTTGAGCGTTCATGGAAGGAAGGATTGTGGGCCAAATAAATGGCAGATTGATTGTCACAATAAACTGATGTTGGTCGAGAGAAGGGGATGCCAAAATCTTGAAGTAAGAATCGCAGCCATTGAATCTCACAAGTGAGAGCCGCAAGAGCGCGATACTCAGCTTCTGAAGATGACCTAGATACTGTTGTCTGCTTCTTAGACTTCCATGAGAGCAGTGAAGGACCAAGAAATGTGCAAAATCCTGTAATGGATGGACGAGTATCTGGGCAACAAGCCCAATCCGAGTCAGCAAAACCAGTGAGAGTCAGGTCATTTGTAGCAGAGAAAAAGAGTCCTTTTGCCGGTGCGCCCTTAAGGTATTTGAGGACCCGTGTGGCAGCATTGAAATGAACATCAGTTGGGCATGAAATGAATTGACTTAGCTGTTGAACAGAGAATGCAATATCTGGGCAAGTGGTGGTAAGGTATAAAAGCCTTCCGACTAATCTTCGATAAGGGCCTGCATCTAACAGCTTCGACCCAAGGTCACAAGAGAATTTTGTTGAAGGATCCAATGGAGTAGAAACAGGCTTGGTGGCAAGAAGTCCACTATCAGAAAGCAACTCAAGTGTATACTTTCGTTGATTACCAGCGATACCTTGTTTAGAACGGGCTATTTCTAATCCAAGGAAAAAGCGTAATGTGCCCAGATCTTTAATCTTGAATTCAGCATCTAGAAATTGCTTAACTCGTTGGATCAATCGAGATGATTGGACATATCCCAAAGAAATAAGAGATGTGGTCAATCGAGAAATAAGAGCTGTGGTCAATCGAGAAATGAATCGCTGAAAAATTGTCTCCTACTAAAACAATATCATCGACGTAAATCAATAAAGTAGTGAAGCTATCATTTTTCTGTAATATGAAAAGAGTATGATCTGCAGATGATTGGACATTTCCCAAAGAAATAAGAGTTGTGGTCAATCAAGAATACCACTACCTACTAGCCTGTTTACAGCCATAGAGAGATTTTTGCAATTTACAAACTTTATGAGAACTTGAGACTTGAAGTCCTTGAGGCACATCCATATACACCTCCTCATTTAAATCACCGTGAAGAAACACATTGTTTACATCCAATTGCTCCAAAAACTAGTTTTTGGCTGCTGCAATGGCAAGTAACATGTGCACGGTTGTCATCTTGGCTACTGGACTAAAAGTGTCGAAATAGTCCACTCCCTCCATTTGTGTATAGCCCTTAGCCACAAGTCAGGCTTTATATCTCTCAATTGTGCCATTCGCAAGGAACTTGATCTTGTATACACATTTGCACCCTATAGTTCGTTTTCTTGGTGGTAAGTCAACCAAAACCCATGTATTGTTCTCTTCAAGGGCATTAATCTCCTTCTTCATGGCATCTTGCCAACATTCAAACTTTGCTGCTTGTGTGTAAAACTGAGGTTCACTGTGTGATGTTATATTTAAACAGAAATATTTGTATGAAGGAGCACATTTGTTATAACAGGCAACATCAGAAATTGGGTAATCAACAGAAGAGTTAGAAATATTACCTGAGCAAGAATGGTTTGGCACTGCTACAGTAGATAGACTACAATGATAATCTCTTAAGTATTTCGGTTGTTGATGTAAGCAGTTGGAACGTCGTGGTTAAGCAGGATTGATAGGAATTGTTATGTCAGGTTCAGGAATGTTGGGAACTATATTAGGTGTTGTAGTTTCAATAGGAAATGGATAATCACAGGTTTCTGGATTATGGACTGGGTTGGTGGCTTTGGTGGGATTGGTGTTTATGGTTTTGGTATCTGCAAAGGGAAAACATTGCTCAAAGAAAATCACATTACTAGAAATAAAAATGGAACGTGATGTTGAATCAAGTAAGACATATCCCTTGATCCCATCTGTATACCCGAGAAATACTACTTTTCTGGCCCTTGGGGAGAATTTTGTGCGACCAGACACATTTGTTGATGCATAACACAAGCAACCAAAGATCTTGAGACTTGTGAGAGATCTTGGTTGTTGGTATAGCAACATATGTGGACTGTTATTCTTCAACAATGGAGTTACCAACCGATTGATTAAGAAAGATGCATGCATTACAGCATAGGACCAGTATACCAGTGGCAATTTACTTTGAAAAATGAGAGCTCTTGCAACATTTAACAAATGCTGATGTTTTCTTTCTACAGTTTCATTCTGCTCAGGTGTCTCAAAACAACTTTTCTGATGCAAAAACCTTTTTGATCTATAAAATCCTTCCATTGAAAATTCAGATCCATTATCACTTCTGATAATCTTAACAGAAGTATTGAATTGATTTTCCATTAGCTTGATAAAGCTTTGAAGATTTTCTCGGGTTTCATTCTTTGATTTCATGAGAAGAGTCCACGTGTATCTTGTGAAATCATCTACTATTGTCAGAAAGTATTTGTGCCCATGTATGGAAGGCACTGCATATGGTCCCCATATGTCTACATGTATCATTTCAAAAGGCCTCTCTGTTTTGGTATTACTTATTGGAAAACATAAACGCTTCTGTTTAGCATATTGACATGCATCACAAGGTGCAGTATGAACATTAGGAACAAAAGGAAATTGTATTGACATTTGCTTCAGAATATTATGAGATACATGTCCTAGTCTAAGATGCCAAAGTAAGGAAGCATCAACAGCACTAGGTACATCATTATTGGCTAAAAGGTATTGGGGTATACAAGTGTTTACAGTGGAATTGACAACTTTGCTATATGGCTTATTCTGGTAAAAAGAATGCTGGGGGGAGGTCTTCATCATGTATAGTCCACCCACTGCCTCAGCTAAACCAATCATCGCTCTGGTATGGTTCTGTTTAATACAACAAAAAGAGTCATGAAAAATGAGGTAGCATGGAACAATTTTGGTTAGTTTTGTAACAGAAATAAGATTTACTCGAAAAGTAGGAACATAAAGAACATTAATCAAAGTAAGATGAGGGGAAAGATATATTGTTCCTGCAAATGATGCTATACTTTCTGAGCCATCAGGTAAAGAAATAGAAATTGGTGGAATTTTGTGAAGATTGGTGAAAATTGATTGGACATGGCATACGTGATCTGTGGCTTCAGTATCAAGGAGCCACTGAATTGGTTGATTACCTGGTTTATTAGAAGCATCTGCATTCAAAGCATAAGTTTGAACATGATTTGATGAATACATCACTGCATCTGGATTGATCTTTGATGAATGCATTGCATTTAACAAAGTCTCATATTGTTCATGAGACATGGAAACTGTTGAATCTTTAACAATTCTTGGATCAGGCATGGACTCATTTATATCAGAATCCAATGCAACATGGTTTGTCATATTTCTTGGCTTAAAACCTGGAGGAAATCCATGCTTTCGATAACATGTATCTATTGTGTGATTATGCCTCCCACAAAAGGTACAGATTTTACCATTTCCTCGTCCGTGACTATAGGTTCCACGACCTCTTACTCCTTGGTCATAATTTCCACGCCCTCTTCCTCTATCAGAGTTGGTGGAAAATGCCTTTGGTTCAGCAATGGCATCAAAATGCCCTTCTGTAAGCATCTGTCTTTCTTGTTGAACCACCATGGAAAAGACTCGCTTGATATTTGGCAATGGATCTAACAGCATAATTTGTGATCGAACATGACAGTACTGATAATTCAAACCCTTCAAAAATCTTATGACATGATCTCTCTCTGTATCTCTGCATCTGTTGATATCCACCACATGCACACCGATTAACACAATTGCATGCAGGGAGTGACTTCAAGTTATCTAATTAATCCCACATAGTCTTCATATCGATAAAGAAATCAGTGATCGTTCTTTCTCCTTGTTGCATTTTATAAATCTCTTCTTGCAGATCTGAAACTCGAAATATGTCAGATTGCGAGAATCGATCTTTAAGATCTATCCAAGCATCATGAGCTTTTTCTATCCACAGTATTGATTTTGCAATGGATTCGTTAATTGAACGGTGGATCCATGCAAGAACAATGGTGTTACATCTTCGCCATGCACTAAACGAAAGATCCTCAGCAGGTGGAGGTTCAATGCTTCCATCTATGAAGCCTAGCTTGTTCTTTGAAAGGAGCACCATCGTCATCGCCCTTGCCCAACTGTGATAATTTCTTCCATCAAGAACTGGATTAACGAACACCAATGTTGGACTTTCATTGGGATGAAGAAAGAAAACATTTGCTGGATTTGTAAGGAAATCTGGAAGAGCGCCTTGATTTGTCATTATCAAGAACTCAAAATTTACAGCGGAAAGAATGGTGAGTACCAGAGCTTAGTGCTCTGATACCATCTTATGAACTGATATTCTGATTGAAAAATGAAAATTGTAAAAGTATCATTCAATGAAGCCTCAAAGGCTTATATACAGAACATTAAGCTAAGTAAAAGGGAAGTGAGTTACTAAGTAACTAAACAACTAAAAATACAACAGAAAGCTAACTAAAACTAACTAAATCCTAGTTAGTTACAACTATTACAGCTGGCACATAACTTAATCAACTAAATAAAAGTCACGTGCTCTCCACCATATTTGCATCTGCATTCTTCACTGCATCTGCATAATTGGTGGATGTTATTAATGCAAGCTCAAAATAAAATAAAAAATAAAAAAATTCCATGCATCTATTCTATGTTACGCATAAACAGCCAAGTAATCCTATCCTTAAGGTATGTAAAATCCAATTTTTATAATAAAGTATATTTCTAATATTATGGGTGTTCGTGGTCTGGATTGGATTAGTTTTGGAATAAAAATCATCAGATCTAATTCCTTCGATCCATTTGGTTTAGATTTTTTTCAAATCCGATCCAATCCAATTTATTCGGTTTGGATTTGATCATTTTTCAGTTTTTCGAAAAGCCTAAAATTCCAACCATACAAATTACTAGTTATATCAAAATGAAGTAATACAAAGCAATGGAGGAGACGAGTTAGTGTCAACTTGTCGCGCAGAGGAAACGGAGGGGATGGCGGCACCAATGCGGGAAGAAGTCTCTAGATTCTGAAACGAAAATGGGTTTTTCATATAGAGGAGGCACAGGATGGGTGGGTGGATGTGAATTTAGGAATAGTCTACTCTAGGGTTCAAAACTAAAGGAGTAACTGAGTAAGGGTTATAGGAAAAAGGGCATTAGATAAATTTTATAAATAATAGATACATAATATATTGAACCGGTTTTCACCAACCAAAACGAAAATCGATCTAATCCAATTAAATTATGCGGGATTTATTTATTTTTTTTATTTTCAGTTGTCAAATTTTCAATTCAGTCAGTGTGATTTGAATCGATTGATGAACACTCTATCTAATATAGTTCACGTAATTTTGCACATTTTTAATTTGAGGGCATGTCTATATATAGGATTCATATGTTTTCTTGTATCATTCGTGCTGCAGGAAGTGGTCCATTGTTGGTGTCGGTGACTAACTGGATTACTGCGTGAAAAGGAAGAGATGATGGAACATTTGATAAGCATCCATAGTAAAAAAAAAATCAACCAATAATTCAACAACAGTTTTTTTTTTTTTTTTACTAACATTTTTGCTAGAATAAGTTGACAGTGTTATTGACCTTAGTCATTGACTTTCAACCTTTCAGGGAAACTTGCAAATAAGGCTACTACTGTCTTCTTCTTCTTTTTTTAAAAAAGACATAATATTTTTGAATTTTATTTTCGTCATCTATTATCAATATAATACTGTGCAATTGACATCCAAAAATATAACTTTTTTTTTTGGTATCCAAAAATATAACATTTTTTATCCATATACATGATATTTATTTTTAATTTAGTTCTTATATTTCAAAGTGTGGAATGTCCTTCAGTTATATCAGCTTAACGCTGTCCACAGCAACATTAATAGGACCCTATCTTGTTATTATTGCCCATTGTATGAGCATCCTCTCTTTCACATTAAATAGACATGCGTGCAAGCTCAAAAAAAGAAATTAAAAAAAAAACCTCCCATTCCTCCACTCTATCTTACGCATAAACAGCCAATTAATCCTCTTATGTAAAATTCTATTTTTATAATAAAGTATATTTCTAATATTAGAGGTATTCGTCATCTGAATTTGATCGATTTTGAAGTAAAAATCATCTAATTCAATCCTTTCATTTTGATCATTTAATCATCCATTATTATTTTTTTATATTTCAAATCTAATCCAATTTTATTCGGTTTGGATTGAATTAGTTTTTATTTTTTTAAAAGTCTAAAATTTCAGCCATACAAATCACTAGTTATATCAAAATAAAGTCATACAAAGCAACAGAGGAGGCAAGTAAGTGTCAGTTTGTCACACAGAGGAAACAAAAGGGACGGCGGCAATGACGCAGTGGAGAAAGCCTTTGGATTCTGAAACAAAAGTGGATTCTTCAGATAGAGGAGGCGCGGCATGGGTGGGTGGGTGGATGTGAATTTAAAAATAATCTACTCTAGGCTTCGAAACTAAGGGCGTAACTGAGTGAGGGTTACATAAGAAGAGCATTAGCTAAATTTCAAAAATAATAAATACATAATACATTTGATCAGTTTGGATTGAATCAATTTTTAACAACTAAATCGATAACCGATTTAATCCAATTAAAATATGTGAGTTCTTTTTTTATTTTTTGATTCTCAATTTTTCGATTCAGTCATCGTAATTTGAATCAGTTGATAAATACCTCTATCGAATATATTTCACGTAATTTTGCAGATTTTTAATTTGAGTGCTTGTCTATATAAGAATTCATATGTTTTCTTGTATCATTCGTGCTGCAAAAAGTGGTCCATTATTAGTGTCGGTGACTAACTGGATTTCACCGTGAAAAGGAAGAGATGATGGAACATTTGATAAGCATCCATAGTAAAAAAAAAAAAAAAAAAAACCGATAATTCAACAAAAAAATTTTTTTACTAACATCTTTACTAGAATAAGTTGACAGTGTTATTGAACTTAAGTTAATAATTGGTCATATATAACAGTGAAATATATAACAACTAAATTAAAAATAACTATCATGTATATGGATAAAAATGTTATATTTTTTATGCCATTTTCACTGTATTATATTGATAATAGATGACGAAAATAAAATTCAAAAATATTATGAAAATAAAAAAATTAATTTTTTATTTTTTAAAAAGACAGTAGTTAGTAGCCTTACTTGCAAGTTTCCCTGAAATGTTGAAAGTCAATGACTAAGGTCCATTCGATTTTGGCAGCCTTATAAAAGGTAAAAGGACACCATATTGGGAGAAACAAGCACACCACATTAAAATGCACACTTCTCATCTTTCCAATTTCATCCATTCCTCAATTAATTAATTAAATCAAATTAAGAACGCAATAATCAATAACCTTTCGATTAAACTAAACCCAAACACAGCTCCTTTAACGCCATACGAAGTAAAAGGCCAAGTTAAACAAAACTGCGTAATAAGCACGTTTCCGTGCCCTTTCTACTTTTAGGAGCTGGAATTTCAAAAAATATTAATTGCTAACGCGTACACATTGTCGAAGCCAGAAGCCAAAAAGATCACAAGCACATGCACTAATCAATGCCTTTTACAGCTTCCCCAATTCTTCCTTGGCTCACATGCCCTTCATAAACTTTCCTTCCTTTTTCATTTTACTATTAATTTTCCTCCCAAATTTTCTCCCACTTTCCTTTCATGTGACACATTTGGATGAAACAACCAACAAAATATTACAAAATTCAATGATAAATAAAAAAAATAGAAAAGCCGTAAATCAAGGTCCAAAATCAAATTATTGAGAGAAAAATTTGGTATGATCTAATGATCTAAACCCATTAGAGTATTAGACCCTGATCAAATATTATTAAATATAGAATATTGTAATACTTCATTGTAGCTGCATTGTCTTGCATGGTCAAATCTTGTGTCAGCTCCATTCATTCACACACAGTGGTCCACAAACTTTTTTTTTTCATAAAAGAATACAAAAAATGTAATTCCAAGATGAATATGTACAAATAGGAACAAATGTGTCACCGAGAAGGGTGAACACTATTATTATAATAATAAAATAAATATGAATTTTTCTTCTTATTTTTTTTATTTTTTTCACTTCGTGTTTTATTTTTCTACTTTGCTAAGTGTTAACAATCTTTATAAACAGAAGAATCTATCATACACGAACAAATTTGCTTCTTAAAAACAGAATTAAGGTCGTGATTACTTGCACCACGTTGAATTATTGCATAATCAGACAATGACGTGGAAGCACCTGAGTGGTGGCCACCGAGTGAACTCGCCTCGGGTATTGACTCACTCGAGGGGATCAAATTAATGTTCCTGTTCTTCAACATAAACTCATCACCGACGAGTTGACTCAGAATCGCTGACTCGGACACCGAGTTCTTCTTCTTCTTGTGCTGGATTGCGGCTCGAACAATCTCCACCAGCACCGCGTTTGACAACCTCCGAACACCGCGAGCGCCGCCCATGACGACGGTGGAGAGAACCGTTCGCTGAGTTTTCTTACCGTGCTTCTCTGCTTTCGTGAACAAAAGAACTGACTCGGGACTCCGATTCCTGACTCGGCCGAGCGGGTCGTTCAAAATGAGGACGCTTTTAACGTCGACGAGCATCACGTGTTTGAAATTGCGCCTGACTCGGCCGAGTAACATAGGGTAACACGCCCACCTTCGCAAACTCAGCGGAACTCGGTCAAGAAACCCGGCGAGCGAGTTCTCCGGGTCGAGTTCGGTAGCGTCGAAACTCAGCACCGATCCATAACTCAGTAAATCAACATCATCGAAATTACTTCGAATTTTCTTATTACCCCAAAGGGTCTGCTCTGGCTCTCCCATTCGCGGTTCCTTGAAGAAGAACCGAGTGAGGTTGAACCGGGTTGAGTTGAACCGGGAATGTTGGCGAAGGAAGGAGAAGAATGCGTTGTTCTCTTGACGAAGAATGGGAGCGAAGGTGGAAACAGAGGAAGGAGAAGCGAAGAGGAAAACGACGTCGGTTGAAGCAGTGAGGGTGGAACGGTGAAGGAGTCTAACGAAGAAGCGAAAATCGTCTAGTGGGGTTTCGTCTGACACGTGGCAAACGAGGAGATTGGTCATGGCTCTGGTTCCTCTTCGATGAAGAGTACCCATGCGTTGAAGAGCGAAATGGGGTTTGTGGGTTTGGGTTTTGTGAAGGAGGAAGCGTGGAGGAAGAGGAAGAGGAGAAGAAGAAGGGGTGTTGGGTATGGTGGAGAGGGTGAAGAGTATGAGAGTGAAGAATAAGAGGATTGCGCAAATTGAAATAGTGGATTGAGCTTTTGAAAATAGTGATTTTGATGTTGAAGGGAAGTTAAGCTTGGTTTTGTCGGCAATGGTGGTGGTGGTGGACTTGTCTTGTGGGAACAACACAAGTAGAAGACCCATGTTGTTCTTGTTATTGTTGTTGTTGTTGTTGGTGGTGCTACATTTTGGGTTTGTTATTGGTAATATACCCATAGCTATGTCTTCCTAATTGCTTGCTATGTGTGTTTTTATGTGTGTGTGTGTGTGTGTGTCTCTCTAATGGAATGGGGAATGGGGAATGGGGGAGTAAGGGATGATTCTCTAAGCTTTGCTTCCTCTGTTTGGTGGTGCTCAGTGATGTGCTTGCTAAAGGCTGTATTTGTGAGACTGTTGGGTCATTTATTTCATCACAGATTTCAATGACATCACACTAACACCAATTCACCTATTTTTTTTTTTTTTCCACACGATAACAGTAATAATTAATGTGTCATCATTTTTGATAAAAACTTAAAAACATTGAATAACATTTTCAAACAAACAGTATTTATGATTTATTCGACGGTCGGAGTATTTTTGTTAAGAATTAAATCAATTTGCTCATTTTGGTCCCGTTAAAATTTTGCAAACATTTGATAGATTGATCTATTGATTTTAATTATATTAAATGATATTCATTGTAGTTATTAGTATCTTACAATATATAATATAATTCGTACGATATGATACAATTTACAAGCTCAAAAATATGTATCCAGAGATGTATCATGTATCAAAAAAAGATTGTATCAGACGACAAAACATGGTATCGTATATCATATGATATGAAAATAAATTAAATATTACAATTTTAATTAAAAAAAATTAGGATTTAATTTGTGATTTAAATTCAAAAAAAATCCACAAAAATTATTATTAATAAGGAAAAAAATAAAAATTTAATTTATAATTTTAATTCAAATATCAATTTGAAAAACATGTATTAACAAAGGAAATAATTAAATAAATATATATTTTGTTATGTATATTTTTCTTTTTTAAGTCATCGAAATCTTAAAGCCGACAGAAATAATCAAAGTAAAGACATCATTATGCAAGAACAAGATAATGTCAACTGACTTGATAAACGAAATGATATTTCCACAAGAATGATAAGGAAAAATGACCTCATATTGTTGAATAAGAAATGGAAGTGAGTGCCAACAAAGGTGAGCACAGTTGGCTAAGGGTTTGGTCCATGCTTCTCAAGGGCGTGGGTTCAAACCCCACTGACCGATGTGAGAACTTTGTTGGTAGGTGATATGTAATTCCTCTCAGAAATCCTCAAAGAAGTAGGGGGTCTTCACTGACCCTAGTGGGATACCGGTCTCTAACCCGACCCTAGTGAGATACCGGTGTCTAACCCCACTTAAACTTTTTCAGCTTACCAAAAAAAAGAAATGGAAGATGAGTCAAAAACTACACTGATGAAGAGGAAGATGAATTAATTATGTCATTGATAGATACTGAAAGCGATAGTAGTGATAATATTAATTTTGATGATTGATAAGTAGGAGAATAATTCATTTGCACTTTAGTTAGTTATGTATTTTGCTAGTCGGGTCTTTTTTAGAATTTTAATTTATATGGTATTTAGTATAATGTATATTTTAAATTATTTTTTATTGTAATTTTGTACCCTATGATTCAATACAATTCTCAATACATGATACATAAATAAACCAAATAATACACTATACATATTGCAATTCAACGGAATATTGATTACCATTTTTATGTCATATAAATCAATTAAATATATTATTAAAGAATTATTTGTAGTAAGTTAAAAATTTATAGATAAGTATGTCAGATTAAAAGTTAAATAAATTAAAGAATAAATACCATTTTTAGTCCCTAACAAAAAATACGGTCCCCACTTTTGTTCCTTACAAAAATAAATTAGTCAGTTAGTGCCTAACAAATTCAAAGTAGATCCATTTAGTTGAAATCGTGATCCCTCACAAATTCAAAAAAGACCCATATTAGTCTCTTAAAATTACTAAAATGGGTCCACCTTGAATTTGTTAAGGACTAACTGACTAATTTATTTTTGTAAAGGACTAAAGTGGGACCTATTTTTTTGTTATAGATTAAAAATGGGCTTTACTCAATAAAAAACAGAGGTGCATATAAAGCAAAAACCTCACGTAAGTCTAGTTTTAGTAATTCATTTTTTTTTCTTTCAAATACTGTTTCAATTTGTTAGAATATGATACAATACAAGTGTTGCATCAGTGGAGATAATCAGATAACCACAAATTAGGACTCTCCTTTTGTTACAGTATACAGTCATTGTATGGTCAACATCCATGTTCTAATTAAAAACAGAACATATAGTTACAAAAAAATAAAAATAACACATGTTCTTTTTTTTTTCTTTTTTCTTTCTTCTAATAAAAAACATCAATGATAATATTAAAAAAAAAAAAACAAACATCAATGCTCTTCAGTAAAAGTATAAGCTAAAGCTACCCTATGGTAGAGACTAGAGATCTTTTCTATTCAGGTAAATTTTAATAAAATATTTTTTAAATTGTCATTTAAATTAGGGAAAAGTTCATAAATCTTATGTAATTTATTTTACAATTTAAAAATGTATATTATAAATAGTATTATTGTTCCCCGCATAAAGATTTTTACATATATTTTTTTTTCATACAACACAATTGTAAGGAAAAAAGTTAATATACTTTAATTTCAATAATAAATAATGAATAGTATGTGGGAGGTGTGAATGTCCCCACAGAAAATATTAAAGAAAAAGGCACGCTATTGAATAATCAAATTAGAAGAAATAGTAGCAGTTAAAAAAAAAAGAAAAAGAAATAGTAGCTAGTTAAAGATTTTTATTTTTCCCTGCCGACAGAATGTAGCACATTGTTGGAATATGCATATAGTATAACATCATTATATTTTAGCATTTAGGTCCAATTTTTATTTGTGAGATTTATTGGTTTCTTTCTCATATTTATTAGTTTTGTTGTAATTTTTTTCGAGAAGTTTGTAGCATTTTTAAAAAAATAAATAAATATGACTATGTTCTTAAATTTTATAATTAACAAAAAACAATTAAGGTTGCACAATTGAGTATACTTTTTCAATTATAAATGGGAAATTGACCAAAATAAAGAACCCTTTACATTTTTTTCTTAAATCTTATAAGAAAAAACAATTACGATTGAACAATTGAGTATTTTTTTTTTTCAATCATAAATGAAGAGTTAACCAAAATAAAGAACCCGTTTTAGTTGACCAAAAAAAAAGAACCCGTTTTAACTTAACAATATACCAAAGTCATAGGTTGAATAATATTAACCAGAATATTATGTTGAAAATATTTATAAATTGAGAAATACTTTTCTTGTAGGAAAATCATTATCTCAAGTTGTAGAAATAAAATTATAAGTGGGATCTACATGTAAGAGGAGAGAGAAAAAAGAAGAGTGAGACCCAACTATTTTTTTGTGTGTAGGAAAATTGTTTATCTCATATAAAATGAGATAAATATAACCCTTATAGATTATATGAAATTTAGAACACTAAGAGCCTGTTTGGATCCTCTTATTTTTAAGCTAAAAGTTACTTATAAGCTAAAACTAAAAAAAAAAGCTTAAAATAATAAGTTAAAAGCTGTTTGGAAATTACATAAAAAATTTAACTTAAAAATTACTTAAAAGTACATATTTCAAGAAAATTATTTCTCTTTCTATCTTTATCACTCTTCATTTAAAAAAAAGCACACAATTCAAGAAAAAAATAAGAGCTTAAAAAAAAGCTCCTCATAAGAGAGCTTTTAGTTTGCAGCTTTTTTTTTTTATTATAAAAAAAAGAGTTTTTCGTTATTAGAGCTTTTCACAAAACCTGTTTGACCTAGCTTATACTTATAAGTAGCTTCTAACTAAAAAGAGAGAGGATCTAAACAGGCACTAAATATCAAAACTACATACTGAGTTGATGAATAAGGAAACACCACAAGCACTAAAGATGAGAGATTAGTAATTGTGTTAAGCAAAGTCTTCTCCCACTGCTTCTCAGATTTAGATAGACAGTTATCAATAGGACAAGTTCAAAATTAAAAAGCTTGAAAGATGTGTTAAATTTAATAAAATATCCTTAAATATTTATATTAAAGTAACGGCAAAGAACCTAACTGCAAATATAATTATTTACATAATAATTCTTTCATTACGAGTTATTAAGTAATGGGAGTTATTAATCTTATGTTACATAAGAAATGTATCTTACATGAGTGAAACAAAATTATGGAGATTACAATTAAAAATAAATAAATATGGGCACAAGATTCGATTAGTGTGCAACATAAGACAATTATCTTATGTGACATAAGACAACTATTTTTCTTAAATAATAGAGATTTATTATTCTCCTTCTAAAGGAGACAGGGTTTTTTCCTGCAGACTTAAAAATGATGTGGGTCCATTCAATTTTTTTTTTCTTCTATTAATAGGATCCACTGTTGATTTGTGTCTACCACTCGAGATAAAAGATTTCCGGTAAAATAAGATAAATAAAACCCTAAGTAACGATGTATAATTTAATTTGCCTTTAACCAGACTTTATCAAAAAAAAAAAATAACTGGTGCACACATCCCAAATAAATGACTTGGTGACATTCAAATATTCAATAATAAGATAAATTGTTCTTGTCTCTTAAAAATTAACCAATCAGATAATAGCCTGTTTTTATAAAAATAAAATTTACCATTAATGATTGTTGAGATATATAGTCTTACATTGGTTGTATGAACAATTAATGTGGAGTTTATAAGGCCTTGGACACTCTCACCCTTTGAGCTAGCTTTTGGAGTAGTGTATCTCAAGATTATTTACATGGTATCAGACTTTGAGTGACTATAAGGTTCTCTTGGGCACTCTCACTCTTGCGTGAGGAGACGTGTTGAGATATATAGAGGTTCTCTTTGGCACTCTCACTTTAAGAACTAGGTTTTGGGGTGGTGTGTTCCAACTCCCAAGGTTCTTTACAATAATAACCCAGAATTGAAATTTTCTAACCCTATTCGTGTAATAGCATTACTTATAATATTTACATGAAACAGCAGATATCGATTAGAAAAAGAAATTATAGTAATAATATCCAGCAAAGCATATATGGTCAAGCGAATACGAGGCATAATATATTGCGGGTGAAA